TTTAAGATTTAGTGTGATGTTGTAGATACCAAAAATATTTTAAAATGCTATAAAACTGAAATATTATCAGATATTATCAGATTTTCATTCATACACACGCACATGTATAACATACATACATACATAATAATTTTGGAAGCAAGTTTCACCTAGGTGTGTTGTCTTGGCAAGCTGGAAGCTTAACAGAAGGAAATCTCTCTCCTTGACAAGTAGGGCAGGCCTGCTCAATCTTTTTATATCCCTGTGTAAATGCTGAAGAAGCTCTAGAAAGAGAGTGCAGAACTGTTCTATAGCAGGTGCCAGCTTTAACTACTTTGGGGAAATTATGGTGCCAGTGGAGGGGTTGATTTGCAAGCTGTTTCACAGCAGTAATTCATTTCCAAAATCAAAAATATATATTCTTAATTTAGCAGTAGGAAAACATTTGTGATATGTACAGAACAGGTTCTTCTTTGTTGTCTTTTTTTTTTTTTTTTTTGGCATTAGAAATACAGTATTTTAACAAGATATTATACAACATATGATTAACATTTTATTGCCACAAGCCTTGGGAGGGATTGAGGCTAGAGGTGATCATATTCAAGGTGTATATCAGTTTTTACCATATGGCCTGACACATCTTAGCGCTTGAGTCAGCCATCTGCCACATAAACATTTTTACAATACAACTACATTTTCGTGTACTTGAGTTTAGTACTGTGTGTGTTCAGATGTTAGCACCCTAGGGTGTCAACATATTGCAGACATTATTCTGTCATCTACTTAATTAATGACATCAAGAAATTATAGCTGTGTACTAGGGATTACTTCTTCATCTTAAAATGAAATGGCTCTGTTAATGTAACTAATGTCAGAGCTTTAGACCCTTGTTAAGTTTATTTGTGCAAAATAACTGATTCAGTACAAGATTCCAATTATAACTGGTAAATATTATGATAGTCTATTTCGACATCAGTTTAGCTCCCTTTCTAACATACATACTGTAACAGCTAGACATACATCTTTGTTTGCCTTGCTGTGACTAAAAATGTGTGGCAATAAAATGAATAAAAATAATGCATTTTTTTTCCCTCTTGTTCTGGGCAATATATTAGTAATCTTTTCTCTTGTTCTGAAAGTCAAGGTGTCTTAGCTACAGAGAATATATCAATTATCTGGTAGAAATGGATTAGCTGGATCCCTTCCTGTCAGGATTCAGGCCTGGTCATGGGTTAAAAATGGCATGGGTTACCTGGTTACTTTCATCACTGAGAGAGGGTGTGTACCCTTTTTGGTCCTATTAAACAACTTGGCAGCATTCAGTACAATCAACCATGATATCCTGGTAGACCATCTAAAAAGATTGGGAGTCAGAGAAACTGTGCTTCAGTGATTCCACTTCTACCTGCCGGGGGGGGGGGGGGGGATT